AGGACGGTTCAGGACCGTCATCGGCATTTTTGCGTTGCCGACCGATGACGGTCCTGAACCGTCCAAACGGTCTGGGGCTACTTACCTGATCGCCGTCGTTCCCCCGGCGGCGATCAGTGTTCCTCCGGTTGTGGGGAGACTGCCTGCAGCCCAGACAGTCTCCCCGCGGCAGATTAGGACCCCTGTGGCCATGTGATCGCTTAACACAGCGATCACATGGTCACAATAGGTGTCCATAGTGCTGCCTGCAGGGGGACTGCCTGTGCTGACAGGCAGTCTCCCTGCAACTGTAAAATCAGAAAAAAAATTAAAGTTAATGGTAATAAAAAAATAATAATAATTATATATGTATAAATATGATATATAGACATATATTATATCTATATAATATATGTCTATATATCATATATATATATATATAATGTCATACTAAGTGTATTTTTATATTAATATGTACTTATATTAATATAAAATACACTTATAATTAAATTACACACGTATATATATAATATATATAATAACTATATATATTGTATATATATATTATTATAAAATATAAATAATAAGTAATTTAAATTAAATAATTTTTTTTAAAATAATAATAAAAATTTTAAAAAAATTATATAGCTATATGAAATTTTATTCTAACTGTATTTTAAAATTAATATATATATATTTATATCAAAATACACTTAGAATGAATTTGTATATATATCTATGTATATAAAAATAAATAAAAATAAGAAATATACATACGTCCATATACAAAATTACATAAATAATTATATAAATATACACGTAGACTTCAAATATATAAATATGCATATATATTTAAATTCTACGTGCGTATTTATGTAATATTTTTACATAATTCAGTAATTTTATTGATTGCAATTTGAGGGACCTGCCTGCCAACCCAGGCCGAAATTCCAGAGAATTTAATTTGCTAGCACTGTATTTTACCCTGTAACGTTCTACGACACCCTAAAACCTGTACATGGGGGGTACTGTTTTACTCGGGAGACTTCGCTGAACACAAATATTAGTGATTCACAACAGTAAAACATATCACAGCGATGATATTGTCAGTGAAAGTTACTTTTTTTGCATTTTTCACACACAAACAGCACTTTTACTGATGATATAATTGTTGTGATACGTTTTCCAGTTTTTAAACACTAATATTTGTGTTCAGCGATGTCTCCCGAGTAAAACAGTACCCCCCATGTACAGGTTTTATAGCATTTTTGAAAGTTACAAGGTCAAATATATGGGTCAAATATTTTTACATTGAAAATGGCCAGGTTGGTTACGTTGCCTTTGAGAGCGTATGGTAGCCCAGGAATGAGAATTACCCCCATGATGGCATACCATTTGCAAAAGAAGACAACCCAAGGTATTGCAAATGGGGTATGTCCAGTCTTTTTTAGTAACCACTTGGTCACAAACACTGGCCAAAATTAGCGTTCAATTTAGTTTTTTTACTTTTTTCACACACAAACAAATATGAATGCTTACTTTGGCCAGTGTTTTCAACTAAGTGGCTACTAAAAAAGACTGGACATACCCCATATTGAATACCCTGGGTTGTCTACTTTAAAAAAAATATGTACATGTGGGTGTTATTCAGAGATTTATGACAGATAATAGTGTTACAATGTCACTATTGATAAATTTTAAAAATGTATGTTTTGAAACCGCAATATCCTACTTGTACCTATAGCCCTATAACATGCAAAAAAAAGCAAAAAAGCACGTAAACACTAGGTATTTTTAAACTCAGGACAAAATTTTGAATCTATTTAGCAGTTTTTTTCATTCGCTTTTGTAGATGAGTAAAAGATTTTTCAAGTAAAAGTCAAAAAACATGTATTTTTTTCAATTTTTCATCAGATTTTTGTATTTTTTTTAAATTAAAATACATGAGATTATATAAATAATGGTATGTAAAGAAAGCCCATTTTGTCCTGAAAAAAACAATATATAATTTGTATGGGAACAGTAAATGAGAAAGCGGAAAATTACAGCCAAACACAAACACCACAAAAGTGTAAAAATATTCCTGGTCGCAAATGTACAACATCGCAAAAACAGTCCAGTCCTTAAGGGGTTAAGGAGTGCATCACCTGTAACACAAAACAGGTGATCTACATGTTGGAGTGCCCTTGTGGCCTCCAATATGTGGGACAGACAAAAAGAATCCTAAAAATCAGACTCAGGGAACATGTCTACAATATTAGGAGAGGCTTTGATAAACACTCCCTCTCGAGTCATTTTAAAACGCACCATAATAGTGATCCGACACTACTTAAATATAGTGGTATTCAGAAAATAGAAATACTGTGGAGGGGGGGGGGGGTGAACTAAACAAGATTCTAACTTATAGAGAAATGTATTGGATTTATAACCTGAAAACCTTAGCCCCTTTGGGTTTAAATGCCAAATTAGAACTAGCAAATATACTATAAGAAGAAATTGTTAGGCTCCAACACATAAGATGTATATTAGCATTATTTGTCATCACAACCATCTATCTTGTATATACATTTTTCTTCTTTAGTTTATCTATCCCATAAACCAATATACATAAAAACAAGTATTTATAAAAAAATTTTGAAGTGCCTAAACAGAAAATGGATCTGCATTTTTGAACACTCACTATATATTATTGCATATTATTTATATGTTTTATTATGCAAATTAAAAATTTCTTTATTTTTTTATTTGTTAGTTTTATGTATTTTTATATTTTTTTTCATATTATTTGTTATATGATTATTATACTATTAGCTAGTGTAGCTACTCAAGTATGCTTTTATAACAGTTATTGTGCTGTATTATTGGTTTTTAATTGCTATAAAGATCAAACATGCATAAATTGATGTATATGCCTTTAAGGATTCAAATGTTTTTTCCCGGCAAGGTATATAACTGCCGATCAGTGTATAGAACACCTATCTTGAAAAAGCCCACACAAGAGGGGCGAAACGCGTTGATGAGGAGTTCGTTTTTATCTTTTTCCATCTGGTGAGATTGTCAATACGTCTAGTCTCCTGTGCCAGCCGAGGTTACATCTGCGGAAGGGAGGACTTTACAGAGCATCCAGCCTGCCTCAGTGCACGAGACAAACGCTGTCTCCATCTGCAAACCGGACGGCACATTTGGGATACAGAAGAGATTGCAACCAGATAAGCTTTTACGTGGTCCTTAGAAATAAGCACCACATCTATTTCTTGTAAGGGTTTCTATGTTGGGGAGGGGGATTCCCTTTTTAGGTTAAGACATTAAATACAGTATTATACTATGTTTATTTTATGTCTTTTTTAAGGGATCTCCAGCACCAGTCTGTGTTTTCAACAACTTTATGGACTTCCCCACAGTTTGGACCCTGCTATAATATCATGGGTACTGGATTGTGATATTGTAACAACTTTTTTTTGTTTGGTTTTACAATTAGCAACATTGACACTTTTTATGCTAGATTTTGCATCACATAGTTGTTTTTAATTGTTGCAAATACATTGGTAAATGTGTATACCCTGAACCAAATTCAAGGGGATTATCTACTAAGCGCTGACAATATAATCTTAAAATAAATTATACTCATTCTTGAGTTTAGAATAAGTGGCCAATGAATACTGTATTGCTTCACATCCCTGGAGGTGTTCTATCACTGTGTACAGTGAGGTAACATCTGCTGTCACCAAGAACATGTCCTCTTCCCAGTTGATGTCTGCTAATAAATTGAAGATCTGAGTTAAGTCTTTAAGATATGGCTTAAGATGGTGAACCAGGTTTTGTAGGATCGGGCCGCTTTCTTTTTGTATTGAGCTAGACTAAATAAAGTGAGGTTATAGGTGGTGGGAACAGCCGAGGAGAGCATTCTGCTCAGGTAGGGTGGGAGCTTCCCAAAAAAGCTCTTAAACACAAGGCTGGAAAAATGAAGGGAATACGTGAAGAAGAGATATCAGAATTAGGTAGTCTTAGTTCTTTATGTCTTGGGCCTGCTTCTTCTGTCCGTGCCGTGAATGTGATTGTCTGAATGGCTCCTGAGGCTTAGATCGTGAACCTTAGGTGGGTGATGGATAGTGGAGAAAAGAGACATATTTCTTGTGGAGATGGGTTTAAGTTATAATTGTTTTGCTGTGTATTATAATGGGATGATCTCTCAGGAGTCCTCCTATTGGATTGATGGGTATTTCTGTATGCATGATTATATCTCCGGTAATAAGTCTGATTCCTTTCATTGTGGGCTGGTGATGTGATTTTTCACTTCTTCAATTACGTTGTTTATAATCAGTCTGATCCATGATTATCTTTTCTTTTCTTTTCTCTGATCTCTTCTTCTAAATCATTTATTCTTTTCTCCATTTTCTCAAATAATGTCATATATTCTCCATTCTCAACCAGAGGGCAAATATGGGTTTTTAAAGTGGATATTTCTTGATCAAGTTTTTCTAACTTTTTTTTTTCTTCTCATTAATTAGAAACACCACCAGGAGTAATGACCCCTTATCAAATAATTGGTCCCATTTATTCAGCATTTGTTGATCATTATGTTTGCATGCTAGTGTGCTTGCACCCCGACTGGGCACCTCCGCCAACAGATGCTTCCTAGCTGACGCCGTAAGCACCGCACTGGACACCACAAGCACCGCAGACTCCACAGCCGCCGTAGCTTAGCTGGGATCTCGCTGTCTTACTCTCACCCTGCACCAACCTCTGATATCCAGGACCGTATGGTAAAGACCTCTCCTACTCCAGAGAGCGTAGCAGGAACAGCTCTTAGAAGAGCTAGTGATTAGAATCCAGGCGAGTATAAGGAGTATAGCAATCCCCAGTGCGAATATAGCAGTTCCCCTCCAATCACGAGACCAAGCTACATGTTGAGGGTTAAGCTGGAACTCCATTTTAATGGAGGTTTACCAACAAGGGTGACACCCACGTGGACCTTGTTGGGCACTGGGACACAAAGTTAACAAACCAATAAAAACAGGGTTATGGGGGGGCGGAGCCTGTCACTGAACTGGACGCCATTTCTCCCAGCTCCGCAAATCAAACAACCAATCTACGGGATATCTCGGCAAATAGCCACCATCCGACCCTGCAAGCACATACAGTCTGGGGACACCCCACTGAATCCCCAGATGCCCTTCCAATATTCCCCAAAGCACCTAAAAACAAAACGCAAGACCGGGGTCTACCACAAGCCTGTCTACCGCAACCTTGAGTATTTCCTGAGCGGGGACCTCGCGGGAGACGCAGTAGAGTGGTGGTCACCTCATACAGAACCTGCCAGTACATCCATGGGGCGCAGAAACCAGAAACCCCCACCCGGTAATGCAGCTGAACAGAGCGATATCGGCGCTATGATCTAGAGGCGCCCTCCAGCCAAGATGGCGACCGCCAAAAACCTACCTTCAGTAAGGGCTCCCCACACAGCTGCACTAGCAACACCTCAGCTACAGAGCCCAACGGAGGACACACAGCAACAGCCCACAGCATTAGCAGGTAACCCTGAACCTGCTGACCTGCCCATCCTTAAGACGTCCATACAACAGCTGACAGGCAGCATGGAAGCAACTGAAGCAGATATTAAAGAGCTCTGCCAAAACACTTCCACCATGCAGGCAGCTATACTCCAACTACAAGCAGCCCAACAGGTCCTCTCCTTACAAGTAGCGGCGCAAGAAGACAGGTACCGCCGCAACCACATAAAGATAAGGGGCGTACCGGCTACCGTCCCTCAGGAGGAACTGCCACACTATGTGAGAAGGCTGCTGACCTTCGTGCCAAGATCTGCTGCCGACTGCCCACCAGACACCTGACTGGCAGGGATACCACCAGCCCCAACCCAAATCCACTGGAGGTACTCCAGTGGATTTGGGTTTAGATCAGGTAGATGGCTAGGTACTTGTACATTGTTTACCTGGGAAAGGGATGGCAGCAGAATTCACTATGGGAAAAAGACAGGCCAATGGAGGCAGGGTTATGCTCTGAGTAATGTTCTGCCGGAAACCTTTGGTTTTTACTTTGACACATACCACCTACCTAGAGATTGTTGCAGGTCATGTACACCTCTTCATGGCAACGGTTTTCCCTAATGGCAGTGTCCTCTTTCAATAGGATAATACACCCTGCCACACTGCAAGTATTGTTCAGGAATGGTTTGAGGAACATGACAAAGAGTTTAAGGTGTTGGCTTGGTGTCCAAATTCCCCAAATCTTATTGAGTGTTTCTGGGAAGTGCTGTAACAACAAATCCATTCCATGGGGCCCACCTCAAAGCTTGCAGGACTGAATAAGAGCAATTTGCAGACTACCAGCATACACTCTCCAGTGAGTGCCAGAGTCCGTGAGGTACAATTACAGAGGTCGTGGTCCAGCTAAAACACAATGGGGGAGGAAAGCGGGTGAGACACTCCAAATATTTCTACATAAAATCCAAAAGAAAAAAAAAAATGCCTGTTGTGACTATAGCGTAGTTGAAGTATTTTTCCAGATTAGCTATGTTGGCCTAATTTTTTTCATTCTGATATAATCTTGTAAAATCCAGAGTTTAGTGAATAACCTTGCAATGTCCAGGTCTAAGCAGGGTCTCCAAACTTTTTAATGTTAAACCTTGTATCGGGGCAAGTAGATTGTCATGACAGATTTATTTTTTACATTTCCACAACCCGGTTCACTGAAGTCTCCAAAGTGGATTTTCCACTAAAGGTCAAAAGAACCGAACTTGAAAAATGAAATCCCCTGTCCTTTGTGTTTGGCTAGCCTCACTTTAAATTTGAAAATTAACTTTAAATTCTCACTTTAGTGTTCCTTTTAGAGGTTATTTACTGTAGTGTTAGGAATAAAATCATTTATTGGGTAAAACTTTTTTTAACTTTTTACTCTTTCGCCAAGGCTTGTCCCGCCTCCATGGCAGAGAAGAATCCATTATATTGCTTTTTTCCAAGTAGATAATGAATTAGCCAAGGACCATATCTAGGAATAAATATTGTCAAAGCCTATGATTGTTATTTACAGATGACACCAAGATTGAGTGTAACATACCTTATTGTTTGATATATATTTATTTGGTCATGCATGTTCCTCCGAGTTGCGGCATATGGCAAGTGTAATATTTATTAATCTATGTGTGCATCAGTTCCATTGGTTTGACTTCACTGTAACCTAGAAATTTTTTCGGCTAAAAGAAAAAAATTGCAACTTTCAAAGGCATTTGGCTACATTAATCAGTGTAAAAAGCCAGAATGTTGTGGGTATATGCTTGACAGCCAGTCATTAGATACATTGGATACTAAGTATTATTGTAACTGTGGATAATACCTAACTCTGAAGCCTTTGGTGATTAATATAAAACACCTGCTCGTTTCACTAGACCCAGGCCTTTTGTGTGGCTAGTTTCCTGTGATGGGAGCTGCACTCCTAGGTGAAAGGTATCATTCTCTGAGGTAGCTTTCACATTATAATATTTGTTTTTAAAATTTTTATTTTTGTACAGTTCGAGACGCCATGCACTTATAGAGTAAGTTTTATTTGATGAGCACTTCGGGTTCGTCTCCCTGACCGCCTCTATATTTTGTACATATCTTGTATCCTATTAGTAACACTTTCACAGATACTTAGTGGGGTTAGGGGTTAATATAGTATGATTGTCTGTTTTCCACTATATTAACACTTTGATATATATTGGTCACTATGGCTCAAGGTATGATTGATGTACCGACAAACATCTTTTCTCCTATCATTCTACCTTATCGTGATTTTACAGCATTAGGAGAATAAATATGTAACTTTTGAAAGCATATCTTTAAAAACTGTTTTAGATAAACTATTCTAGCTGATAGTCAAATTATCACTTAAATAATCCAGTGTCTGAAGACCCAAAAGGAACTGTAAAACTATTGTATAAATAAACAATGACACAAATAAATACACAAATGTTTGTGTATTAAATAATGTTACAGAAAGGAAAATTATAAAAACAATCTTACCAACAGAAATCATGTAGAGGATGACAGCAGGATATGTAATGGATGATTACAGATGAATGACAATTTCTAACTGTCTTTTTACAGTTTATACGGCAATTTCTTCCTCCAAAGAGAGGTCCCCACATGCTGTGATATTTACCAAAAAGGTTCTTTTGTCTTTTTGGAGAAGGGGCTTAAAACTCCTTTGGAGATTCCCCCTGCGAGTGAGTACGCCAGACCAGAGTGTGGGAGGTTTATCCCCCAAATGCAGTACACCACCGTTTTGTATTGCGCCCTCAAAGCAGGCAAAACTTATGGATAGTATCAGACAGGGGAATAGAGACCGGCACAGACTCCAGCAAGATGGCGATGGGTCTGGTGAACGCTCATGCTCTCCTTCAGCTTTACCAATTTCAGAGGTACAAGGGTGCAAACAGGAGCTGACTTCATATTACTTGCAGTACCTGCTGTTTTACCTACTTTGCCTGTCTTACCTGCTGCTTCCATTGCTGAGGAGAATCCTGATAACTTGGTCACGGAGCGGAGCTTAAGCAGGATGCTTCAGGAGCTTCGTATAACTATACAGGCTGATTTTAAGCAGATTATTGCTTCTCTGCATGTGGATCTGGCAGAATTGGGCAGCAGAACCAATATTTTTGAAAATGAGGAGGAGGAATTGCGGGCAACACATAATGATAAAATTCAAAAATTGGAAGCTGATTTTTACAATTTGCTCTACAACCTGTTCCAAATTATTATGCAAATTCTATTTAAGTGTCACAAAGATTAAATATTTTGTTTTTCAGTTTAACTCGTGGATGGCATTGTGTCTCAGGGCTCTTTTGATCACTGAAAACAATCTCGGACACCTGTGATAATTAGATTGCCAGGTGAGCTCAATTTAAGGAAAAACTACTAAAGGAGGGTGTTCCACATTATTAAGCAGTGCACCATTTTCATGCAATATGGAGAAGAAAAAGAATCTCTCTGCTGCTGAAAAGAATGAAATTGTTCAATGCCTTGGACGAGGTATGAAAACATTTGATATTTCACAAAAACTTAAGCGTGATCATCGCACTATTAACAGATTTGTGGCTGATTCAGAGCACAGACGGGTTTGTGCAGATAAAGGCACATTGAGGAAGATTTCTGCCAGATCCATGCATCGGATCAAGAGAGGAGCTGCTAAAATACCATTATATAGCAGCAAACAGATATTTGAAGCTGCTGTTGCCTCTGGAGTTCCACGGACATCAAGGTGTAGAGTCCTCCAGAGTCTTGCAACTGTGCATAAACCTTCTATTTAGCCACCACTAACCAATGCTCACAAGCAGAAACGGCTGCATTGGGCAGAAAAATACATGAATACTAATTTTCAAACAGTCCTGTTCACTGATGAGTGCCATGCAACCCTGGATGGTCCAGATGGATGGAGTAGTGGACGGCCACCCTGTTCCAACAAGGCTGCAGCGTCAGCAAGGCGGTGATGGAGTCATGTTTTGGGCCGGAATCATGGGAAGAGAGCTGGTCGGCCCCTTTAGGGTCTCCAAAGGTGTAAAGATGACCTCTGCAAAGTATGTAGAGTTTCTGACTGACCACTTCCGTCCATGTACAGAAGGAAGAACTATGGTTTCCTTAATAAAATCATCTTCATGCATGACAATGCACCATCTCATGCTGCAAAGAATACCTCTGCATCAATGTCTGCTATGGGGATAAAAGGAGAGAAAGTCATGGTGTGGCCTCCATCCTCCCCTGACCTCAATATTATTGAGAACCTTTGGGGCATCCTCAAGCAGAATATCTATGAGGGTGGGAGGCAGTTTACAGCCAAACAGCAGCTCTGGGAGGCTATTCTGACATATTGCAAACAAATTCAAGCAGAAACTGTCCAAAAACTCACAAGTTCAATGGATGCAAGACTTGTGAAGCTGCTATCAAATAAGGGGTCCTATGTTAAAATGTAACATGACCTGTTAAAATGTTTAAAAAGTTAAAATGGTTTTATAAGTTTGATTGAAATAGCTTTTGATTTCAGTAAATATGCTGCAAACACAACAAATGGCAATTTTTAGTTCTTTACAATCTATAACTTGTTTTGAAACTTACTGTGCGTAATAATTTGGAACAATGCATTGTAAGTTTATTATGTTTAAAAAAATACTGTTATCATTCAGAGGTTTGTTCAATAAAATTTGAATTGTAATCTAATTAGTTGATAACATGAAAATTATGCTGACTGTTTTTTACATCAATTTTTTAGGTAAATGAGAAAAATATCATGTGCATAATAATTTGGAACATGGTGTAAACCTATGTTTCTATAAAAACTGAAGTTTTTGGTTTTTTTGCCGCCCACCTAAACGTAAACCTTGTTTATTTTTCCCCTCTTAGCTTTTGAG